AGGACATAGCCATTAGTTTCAGGACAGCGCCACATTGGAGACTAATGCCTCCATCTGTCAGCGGAGATGAGAGGAGGGTAACAAAGAGAGGCAACACTAACCCCTGAACTCATCATGGACAGCCGTGTCAATTAAATACTGAAAAACAGCAGCACTGGGAGTCATAGTGACGGACCAGTGTGATGTCCGGCCAGCAACGCCACTACTAACATCAAATCGCCATCAGGGCTCGGGGTGGTTTTAATGTCGCCAAATCGCACACAACTTGACTTGGGGGGCACTGGACATTTTTTGACATTTTTCTCATCTTTTTTCACAGATCTGAAAGTAGAATAAAAAAGTATTTAAAGTCTAGAAATACTAATGAATAGGCATACGGCGGGGCAATTAATCTAATTTTAATCAAGATAGAGATTTAGTCATTTCTAATTGTCAGTGATCAGCTTGTGTCTTTCTAATGGAGAGGTGTATAGGCAGGCCTCTGACAGTGAAAATGCATATTTGGATGTAAGACTTTGGAGGAAGAAATCAGACATTTCTCTGGGTCAAACAACACTGATAAAAGTTTGTCTCGCTTATGTTCAGAAAATAACAGAACACATTTTTCTTTGTTTAAAAAGACAAAATAAAATTAAATCGAAAATCTACAACAATCAGGACAGAATAAAAATGTGTAACTACACTGGACACATGTTGAATGTTAATTGTTTCGACATGACATACTAGATTAAAGAATTTTAGGTTAAATCTTAAGGAAACTCCATAACAGATTAAAGGTTATGGTCACCTGTAACAGTACACAAAACATTGAATTTAGTGCCCTAAATGTTATCTTATTTGAATATGCTACACATTTTTCGACCCTTCAATAGTTTTTGTAGTTGCAATATGAGCTGACCACCTTGTTAAAGCCATGGGATCATAAGTCAGTGTACATGCTGCGTCCCAACCTGGATGTACGATAAGGGTTGCATCAGGATGGGCATCTGGAATAAAGCCTATGGTCAATCAAACGCCAAGTTGCAGTACGCTAAAAGTAAACAACGCATCATTATTACCCTAACACAACATAAACAGCTAACTCCCCAGTCCACCTTAACAGCCATGAGTGTCATTTCTAGCACATTTCACAGGGCACTGCACCAGGGCCCCTCCTGAAGTGGCGCCGTTAACGCAGCACTGAGTCCTCTGAGTTTGGGCGATGTGTTTATGTGGCTAATTAGCAGCATGAGAGCGAAGAGGCCGGCCACTGATTCAGCAGGTCTCTGCCTCACGCTCCGACAAAGTTCAAGCCGCGTAATACATTATCCGTCTGATCGTATTAGTCATGCAGGGAGCTCTCCATCTGACCCCGTCCCGCAATGGGGGTAATATGAGGCTGCTGACTCCGGAGTGGCCTGAACCGGAGCAGACCCAGCCAGACCCGGTAGTGGTGCAACTAACAGACACATGCACACGGAGGCAGAGAGAGTTTGAAATCTGACACCAGGAACGCAAAGTTGGTGTCTGGCTTCTCTTACTTAGGCAAGCTGTAAATGGGAAGGATTATGAAGAAAAAAGAGGGAAGAATAAGCAAATTTTGGAGCTTTACAAATAAAAAGGAAATGTGTCATTGTTTGTTTAAGCGATTTACCCTGGTTTGGATCTGGTTTAGTCCTCATTGTTGGTGTTGCCCTCAGTTACACTTTGTTTAATGCTTCTGTTTGTGTTTAGACCCAATTCAACCCCAATTTTGTACTGAAAATAGATAATCTACTTTAGTCCTGGTTTAGTCCTGATTTACTCCTGACTTAGTCCTGGTTTAACTCTGATTGTGGCCCGGTTTAGTTTTGGCTCCACGTAACCTGATTCCAAGTTACCGGTAGTTTAGATCTTACCTACACCTGATTTTGACTTCTTTTAGTTCGAGTGAAGAAGACCATATTCATCCTCATGCTTGGTTTATTTTCCTAGGCAATAAAAATATAGACTACAGATCTATAGATTAACACAGTGACCTTAATTAATATATTACCATAAACCTCTATGTGCCGTCTTCCACACTGTAAATGCAAACAAAGATTTTTTTTTTGTTCTGCAGGATGTTAACCAAGCGCAGGAAGACTACTCAGGAACCGCTGAAACAATGAGTGGAGTTTGAAGTGGGGCCGCGGGATGGGTGCAAGTGTTTTTAGTGAAATACAAGCCTCACCACAGCGGCCGGAGCGGTGTCTGAGTGGTAACACAAGCCGGCGGTTTTCCATGGGGCAGTGTGCAGAGCTGAGCCTGTTTAAGCTTGCTAAACACTCGGACGCACTGACACGAGGGCGACCCTGACATAGATACACAGTCAACAGGGTGGGGACAGCGGTTAAAGGGACAAGGACAGTTTTAAATCTGTGCATTTTAGGAATATTACCTAGAAACATTTTGCAGGAAGAATCAGAACTCACGGTTTCTTATGTTAAGTGTAATAAAGGTTGCATTATAAGTGGACTGGACAATATGTCACAATCAAATGAAAGTTGAGTCGGCACAATTATCAAGTCATGCAATTATTTAGGTAACAGAAAGTCCTCTTCAAATAACAAAATATGTTGATTTTAAAGACAAAAACACGTGTTCTGAAATTCATAGGACTCTTGTATTAATTTATCAGTTCATATTTCAGGTTTGAGGTGTTTACAAAGTGCACTCTGGAGAGAATCCAACTTTTTAAACATATATCAAAAATATAACACTATCACATCTAAGGAAAAATCGGAATTAGATTTCAATTGGTGGAAGTGTGCAGTCAGAACCAAGCTTTGATCAATAACAAATTTTGTATTCAGTTAAGGCTCCTCATGCTGTCAATGGCTATTTATATTGCAGCGTAGTAGAAATAGAATGCAATATTGTGGTCTTACAATAAGACAATATAAAATACACAATATTGGCATGATACTTTTTTTTACATTTTGCCATCCTTTAAAATTTTGAGATGTGTCGCCAGTTAAGTCAGTTAAGCTCTTTTTCTTTTTAATTTTGTGTGTGTGCCATATAGGTAGAGGTGGAAAGAGTTATGAAAAATTGTGCTCAAGTAAAAATACAGTTACATAGGTCTTAAAATACATTTTCAATACTCATTTACACAAACTTACTGACAGGATCATTTCTAATTAGTTATTTTCCACCTTTACATGCATGCTATAATATTCTGGTAAGTATTGTTTCATTATCTTTCTGGATATTTTTAGAACGGACACAGTGTTGAGAAATAGTGACAGTCATAACTCAGATCTAGCAGTGTAGCTGTTCTAAAATTAACTCAAATTATTGTGTAACTTTTGGCATAATGTAACTTAAACGCCTAGCCTATCCAAAGATGCACTTTTGCCTTGTCTATCTGCTGCTCTCTGGCCCGTCCCTTTCCCCCTTTTGCACCTATCACCACTCTGACAACTCAAAAGAGCACACAACGCACATCACCGCATGCAACATTTATATATAGTGCACTGAAATGTAGAAACACGAGGTCAAGGCTAGCTAGCCGAAGAAGCAGCACTCTCCGGTCTCCTCTGGCTAAAAACACTGACTGCAACAATGTAGGAGAGGCAAAAGAGGAGCTGACTCTTTATAAAGAATATAAAAAAGACCTGACAAATTGCAGGCTGTACGGCGCTCCCATATACACTGCACTCAGCAAATTCGGTTGTAAATGCCATGGTGACGGCTTCCAGTCATTTTCTCTGTCACCGCACTGAAAGGATTTCTCAGCTCCGGTTCGGCACATCTCAAGACTGAGGGAGAAGAAGCGGCCATTAAGTCCCTCTCGTAAAGCGCGCGGGGTAATTCTCAACTTTTACATGGTAATCTGGCCTCATAAAAAACAATCACTTAGCGGAAGCTGATTTGTGGTTTGCAACATGTTTTTTTTCAGTCGCAAAAATAATAATAAATCATCAGGAATGCACTTAAGGCGAGACACAGTGTATATTTTGTCATTTCCAAACTCGGAAAAATTGAAGCGGGCTGCCAAAAACGGTGGGAAGAGGAGGAGGAGATGAAGGAGGGAGAGAGGGAAGGGGGGAGGAGTGAGGGAGCCAGGAAAAGGTCCAAGTCATTTAGTCTTTTTGGAAACGAACTTTGTATGAACTCCCAAAGACGCCAGACGGTTTACAAAAAGACTAGGCATAACTCTCTGACTTTTTTCCCAAAAGCTATGCAATTTAGGAACGGGGGCCTCAATGTTTTCCTCCGTACTCCTAAGAAATCTAAAAGAAAATCAAAAGCGTTGCCAAGTTCTTAGTCATATGGGATAGAGTTACAGTGCACTAGAGAGACATGTTGCCTGCGTAAGTGTTTATTTCTCACAAAGTGTTTCAATAATCTTAAAGCCATTCACAAATATTGGAAGGTTTTTGAATTTACTTGAAAACATCTGTATTCCCAAGAGTATGCTCTGTCTTTCATCATTCTAGGCACCTCATTCTTTAATCTGCTGTTAACCGACTAATAATTCACACCATTCAGTTTCACAGCTTTGACCCCAGTTGTGAATATAAACAGAAAATCCCTCTCTCTCTCTCACCTGCCCGTGCATGCAAAACAAGCCTCGCTTTACCAAACGCCAATCCCCAGAAAGCCCAAGCCAAAGAAAACAAAACACACATGAGGAGGTGAGAGGGAGCCAAGCCCTGACAGAGAAAGAGAGAGAGAGAGGTCCAAATGTCGGCAGCAAAACACAGTTGGCCAATCACAAGACAGCATCCAGGGACTAGACTTAACACAGGTAGGTGGGGGTAGGTAGAGTGGGTGACCTCAAATTTGACTATAATAATTTAACAATGCAGTTCAAAAGTTAAAGCAGCTATAAAAGAAAACAACTTAAATAAAAATAATTGAAGCACAGTGAGTTTACACGGATTTCCAGTAATTCTGTACCATTTTGCAATACGGAACAACTTTCAGCACTTAACATATAACATATCAAACAAGAAAACAGGCAAAAAGCAAAAATATAAATGTACAAAACTCACCGGTTTTCTCTTTGATTTCACACAAGACGTTGAAAAGAGCTGGTTTCATTCTGTGGCAGTTGAGTGCATGCTTCCTAAAAAGAAAAACAAATGGTACCACACAAATCAAACAAGTGGCAACATTGCTAAACACACATCTTTGAATTTCCTTCATGCAATCATTTCTGAATGAATTTGGATTTTAAATGACAAATAAATCAGAAATCAAGTTCAAACATGAGAATCTAATCTGTGTTGGTCTGACATCAGTGGTCCTTGAGGAGTTTTGTGCCATTTTCCCTCGCAACCCCATAACCAGCTGTTTTCTATTTTTCACAAACATGCTTCTTGATTTCATGAAATGCTAGTTGACCCAAATAAAATCCACACACTTCCCTCCTGGGTCCAAACCCCCTGCGTGGAAAGCACAAACTGAAACTGCCAGAGACACTTTGACAGCCAATGTCCAATGCCACAGCGTAATTACTTAAAAACTGAGAAAGGCAAATTTGGCACAAGCAGAATAATTGTGATATGAATTATTAATAACATAGCAGGAGAATTATATGTTTACTTCATAACTGTGTATCAACATTGTCATGAAGTGTTTAATTTACTTTTTTATGGACTGTCTCAGAAAACAAGACACTCAAGGTAACTGGCGCGTTGCGTGTATGGATAGTGAAAGTGCATAGGGTTATCCGCAACATGTTATTATGGTAGGATTACATTGTAAGCTCCTTTGTAACACGTATACAAGTGGCTACTCATCTGGTAAAATGGTGGCACGGAAAACAGACGCAAAACTTGAATCGTGACAAGTTTGTGAGCTGTTTTCTTCAGTAGGCGTTATTGCTTTTATTTGGACCACACTGACGCTCACTTGGTTCCCACACGCTTTCACACGTCTCCAGTGGCAAGATCGTTAGTACTCGGCTCACCTCGCTTGCGCTTCGTCCAAGCTTTGGTCTGTGATGGTCATGATCTGCTGTAATATGTCTCCGATGTCCTGCTTCCTGCCCTCTGCGTCTGTCCCCGCCGTACCGTCCTGCATGTGCTGCGCCAGACCGGGGTGTCCGGCCATGCCAACCCCGTGGGAGTGCATCAACCGCGGCTGCTCGTCCATCCTCGACCACGGCTCTGGCTGCCTCACCTCCAACTTTGTTTTAAATGTTTTTTTTTCTTCAACACCGAAAGAGAAAAAATATCCAGTGGAAATTCCTGTGGATCCCTCCGCGCCTCGCAGCAGCAGCGACACTCCTCCTTTTTCTTGGTAAGCTTTTCTAGATTCGGGAGGAGGGAAGCACTCTCGGTCTCTCTTCCAGCTGGTTTAGGTGAAATCTGATCTGAATCGCTGCTTTTGGCTTTGGCCACTCCTGCACCGCTACTGTAGGGAAGAGAGAGGAGAGAGAAAAACAGCATTGAACATTACGGGCGCCTAATGTGATTAAAAGTGCAAGGCGATGTTCCGCTAGCCCCTAATTACGCACGGTCCCCCCAAAGCGACGTACAGAACTTGCCTGTGTGGATGGTTTTCACGTCCAAAGTGTCACCAAGTGTTATTGTTCCGCTTATGTCTGGTAACTGACTCATAATCGGAGTATGGATGGAAAGCCTCCGCCCCTCGAGCCGCGATTGGAGAAGAAGCAGCGCGCAAGTCCCACCTCATGCCTCTCCGAAAACGTCAATCATGCCGCTCCAAGAAGGTGGGACACTGTAATAAACATAAAGAGATGTGACCGGACCGGGTGGCAATACAGTGATGGATAGAGAGTGAATATGTAGCCTAATAAATAATGGTGAGTGGCAGAGGAGAGCTGACCCAACAGGACAGCGGCGTGCAGCTCGGGAGGGACGCCCTGTCACACTCGCTATATATTTCCCTGGCAATATTTACATCCGCGCAATCAGTCAACGCAATAATAAATCAGCGATGAATTTATTAGCACATGCTGCACTTTGCGGGAGGCCCAGTTGTTGTAGTAACACACAACTGTCCACAAGTGATCCCTCAAGTGCTCCAACGTGAAACCGTGTTTAATAAACCAAAAGTTGAGGTAAATAAATAGCTCATGTTTAAAAAAAAGAAAAAGAAAAGAAACATTAGGGTTGTTTACTGCGTGATTGGAAGGGGTCTAGCCCATTTGTAATTGCACTTAAAGGTTAAAGGTTAAAAGTATCAATGAAATTGAAATGTACTCGTGAGATTTTAGCCTGTTAAAATTATACTATTTCATGAAAAATATACGTGGAGCTGTGTTTTGTTTCATTCTCACGTGTTTGAGTAACCCTTTATTATTAATCTGTCTACAACTCCAAAGCGTAAAATGCTCTGTTCCACCTTGTGATGTCATGAAGTGGTAATTTTCAAGTTAACAGCCACATTTTACCTATTGTTCAGTAACGATTGACAATTCCAAGGCTGAAATTATCTAAATGATTCTAGTGAAGGTGTATGGAGTTTAAAAACAGCGTGTTTCCTGTTTAAAAGAAGAACTCAGCGTAAATATGCAGGGTTTGTGTGTTAAACGTGTGAATGAAACAAAATATAACTTCGGGTATGTTTTTGATGAGATGAGAACATTATAACATAGACCAGAATATAAATATAGATAGAATATGGGCCCTTTAACATCAAAACTATGCAGTGTTTGATGGTCTAAGTGTAATTTTGTTGTTTTCTATGATAAAAAATAAACTCTTGAATCATGTTTGTTTGTTAAAATACATGATATTTCTGTGAAAAATTTACCAGCATCAGGCCCATAGCAGCAAAGAATGACTTCAATATCTTGTTAGAATAGTATGCAATCTCATTCAAAAAGCAAGAAAGTCTATGCAGAATGACCTATTACGACCCCTTTCATTGATGCGTTTGTTTTCAATGGCTTACGGACAACGCTGGTCCAAGAGCAATGCCACACTGCCAATACTTAATATATTTCAAAAAAGCACCCCTCGTGTCTCATTATAAAAGTCTATACTACGTCAATACATTGCACATTGGGAATAAACTGGTCTCACCACTGTTTTATTAGCAGCAGATGAAAGACAGTTCTCTTATCAGCAGTGGATGAGGGACACATATTGATCTGAAGCCATTTGGGGATTATGCTCTCAATCAAGAAGTAGCTAACAGCACATTGAAACCGCCACTGGAATAATTTAGGGACATGACTGATGTTAAACTGATGTATTTTATGACAGATAACTGAAAATGTGTCATATATGTGCACAGAAGCAGTCATACGAGTTGTCAAGAGCGCATCACTGTTGTTGTGTCCTTGGGCAAGACACTTCACTTACATTAAACACACTTTACTTACATTACAATTGGCTTCTAAAGTTGATTAATAGATATGCCAAAATATAAGAAAACTCCTAAAGTAAAACAACTACAAGATTTAGGATGCAAACTGCTTAAAAAAAAAAAAAAAAACATGCCTTGGGCTATTGTTTCATTTTACATATATTATGTTTTTCTGGGTATTTAGTACTAAACTATAACATTGTCATTATAGCACATATTGTCATTTATTGCATTGCTAGAAACTGCACAGCTGAGAAGCCCTGTCTCTTCATACTGTCATAGCAAACAGCTGACTTGTGATAATGTGTTGTTTTTTTGTTTTTTTATTGCAAATAGGTACAAACCAGTAGGCGGGGATAGGGAGCTATATTAGCCAGCTTTTGTAGTTTATTCTTACTAAAATGACAAACATGTCTCTAGCAAATGTGTGTACTTTGTTGACAGTGTGAATCTTACTGCATTACATGACACACTGCAGTCGGGCCCGCTCCCCTTTGCCTTTCCGTTTTACTGGCTGGACACAATCGATCAGTCAGTTTTCTCATTACGGCCTGAATAGGGAGGTAGGCCAGTAATTGTCACAAGGGGCAGGGAGAGGTTGAGGGTATATAGCGGTGCTGATAATGTCGGATGGCCACACTGCACAGCACAGCAGCCCCTGAAATGGAAGCCTAAGCAGTCCGCCGGCCATTCTCCCTGATTTTATTTCCCTGTTGAAGAGGGTCATAACACCAGGGCCAGCATTATCTGTGTCGCGTGCACCTCCGAGGAGACAGAGGCACAGCGCTTAACATGCAGGCGCCTGTGGAGGTCAGAAAATTAACATGGGTAATCAAATTATGTATCAAGGTTTATTGCAATGGGGCGTAACAATGTAGACCTAAAATATAATAAAAGAGGGCATATATGTTCTGAATGTGTTCTGTCTTTTCGGTAATACACAAAGGGCCTTGGGATGGACTTAGGCTCCAACTAGTTCTATTTAAATGTTAACAGCAGGATACTTTTTTCCAAAATGATCACATGATGTTGTCCTCAGCATTTGACCCAACTCCAGGTGCTGAGACTGGTTTTGTAGCTAGAGGAAAAAGCCTATTCTTCATGTTTCTTGGTAGAACTTTTAAACCAGATGCTCTGTCTGTAAATAAGGGCATTGTTACAAACAGATAAACCTCTTACCATCTTGTTACAAGGCAGTGCCACAGTCATGGTATTGATACAACTAATGATTTAGAAAAGAAAGAGCAATCTTTTATACACAGAGCCCAGAATAATTAACTTAAAAATTAAAAGTTAAGTCAAAACTTTTGTGAAATGAGTTAGGCTTCTGTGCTTTTGCGTAACATCTCACTCATTCACATCACATAGATAGCTCTGTTCTAATTTTAAAATCAACCCTGCTGATTAAACATAAGATCTAAAGAGCTCATTGTTTTTGCTCCAAATTCAAATGTATTCCACTTTGGGCAATGAAGTTTCTGTACTGGGATACTTTTGGGAAACTCTGGAAGGAATAAATAATTCCTTGTTTGTGGCTGTGATCGCTGTACTGAGAAATGCAGTATTTTTGAGCCCCCTAATGAAAGAGCGAGGGGGAAAAAAATCATCTGACATAGCATATTCCAAATGTGTTGTTGCCGCATTAATAACCAGGCAAGAAAGAATAACTGGGATTTGATTAGACTTGCAAATGAACAGGCATGGAAAAATATCTGTATAAATACTAGATGTTTTTCTGCCGACTTGTTTTTCCAGCACTCGAAATGTTAATGCTGAGTAGATGTGTATTCCCCATAGATAGTGATGCGTGCGCTAGTTGGATTTGTGGAGTTGTGTTGTTTACCCAGGTTCTCCAGTGACTCCGGCTCTGCTCCCATTACGACCAACTACTATGCCATACATTAAACAGTGTTCTGATTAGAAACCTCATGCAGCCTCAGCAGCCCGCCGTGATTCAGACTGTGTCAGCGATACTACTGTACATGGTGGAGATATACAAGACCACGAGACAGGCACAAGGCCGTGATATTTAATGTGTTCTGCCAAAACTTCTATCTAGACGTTTTTATTTTGATGTTAAATGCTTAGATGTGTAACTCAGAAATCTTAGTGGCAGTTATTACTTGAAGTAGACTTGAACAAAGCATACATGTTTAAGGTTATAGCATAAATATGTGTTGTTCAAGAGCAGGGGTGTCAAAATTTTTCGACAATTTTTCTTGGCCCTCAGGCTTGAATTGGCCCACATTATCCTAAGAAATACTTTTTACTGCTAGCTTTAAATCCTCTACCATTATAAATTAAATAACCAACCATTTTGATGTGAGATAGACCTGATATTAAAATCTCAAATAAATAAATGATGAATGATTGAATGATTCACAGTATTGGTCAAGAGTCTATGGCCTTCCATGTGGTCTGTATGTTTCAATATGCGAAAGGTGACATGGCTGAAACAAGGCTAAGTTATGAGTCAGGTCTATGAAGAGGCAAAGGAGTAAAGCTGTGTTTTTTAAGGTCTTAAGGTCTTTGCTCAATACAAATACCCATACAGAAATAAAGGCCTTTTAATACTTATGTATTGTATGAAATGTTACTTTGACTAGCTGTTAGTTCTCTAAAAGATTTCTACATCATTAGTAGCAGTGGAACACATTTCAGAATGAATACAGACTAGCCACTGATGTTAAATAGATAATGACTAATTATTCTGGCTAGTAATAAAACTGCATTACAAGATTACAATTTACTAATATAGAAAAAAATACGTCAATCAGAATGTTTTGATTCTTTTAACATTGATGGAATTATCTCCAGTTTAAACGGATCAATTACTGTATTGATATGCAAGAGAGCTATCAGTAATATCCATACAAGATTCCATGATTTTAGAGTTGCACACAGTGCATTACAAGTACTTTTTAAATCACCAGACCAAATAGTTTAAGTTATAACAATAAATAAGATAAAATATGGAAATAGATTTTTAAAATTAAAAAAATCAGTTCTGTTGTTCTTCGTGATTCTGAACAAAACAACACATAATTACTATTCTCATAAAAAAATACTATTACTATTCTATTACAAGTGAATGAATATCCAAAATAGTTGACTCTGCACTGGGTAAGTCTTCTACCAAACTCCCCAGCCCGTGTTGCAGAGGGTCGAAGAAAGTCCGACCCCCGGCCCCCCACCCCACACACACAAACACACACCTCGGCATGCTGCGGGTCAGAGCAGGCTAAGTTATGTATGAGCTCCAGCAACAACAGTGGAGAGGGAAGAAAGCAGCGGCAACATCTCTCCAGGAAGTAACCTTGATGAAAAATTCAGTTGTTTGCAGCTCCTGGCGTCCCTCAGGCATGAATAAAGTGAAGCGCAGACACGGGGAGGAGAGGAGGAGAAGACCGTGGTACCAGCTCGCCAGCCCGGTGAGGAGAGAACACACAGCGGCTAGCATTAGGAGATGGGCAGGAATTAAAGTTTAATCGTAGCCTCAGATAGATTAGACCACAGGCGCCCAGTCAGCGGTTTGGGGAAGGGCCTGGCTCTTCCTGGCTGCCTCTGTTGACCGTGGAGCCTTTGAACTGCCGGTAAATTAAATACCTGTGAGTTCAACAGACACTTCAGCTCTCGTGTTTAGTTGGTGGTAACGTTCTCACAATACAGACATTTGTAATTTAAAATGTGATTTTGATATAGAATAAACATGGGACTCAATACAGATTTTGATACTACAGGAAATGGCAAATGAAAATTCAATTCAGACAACTGGACAAAAGTTTTAGAGTGAAGAGTAGTGGCTTCTTCAGTTCTGGTCAAGATGTTTCGCCACTTAGATGAGTTGAGAAACATACTGACCAGCACTGAAGAAGTCACTTTGTCTATTCTATACATAAATCACATTTGAAATTATAAGACAACACTAACACCAGAACTTCCATTCTTACAATAGAATGCAGTTACCAAAATAAAATATTAGTTTCTTTAACATCATCATATGGTCTTACATTAGTTCTGAAAGTTCAACAACATTTTAAAGGGTCAACATTGTCCTATGCAATTATTTGTCTTCAGTACTGATTCGAATTGAGCTTCAATAGCCTATTTGTTGTTGAAGTTTTCAGCTTGTCCAAGAAAGGGTGGAAGTAAAAGGCTGGAGACCAACTGGATGTCTTAAGCAGGAGAAGTTTATTTACCATCAATAATACGGGCCGGGGGGGACTTGAAAAGTCAACATAGTATGATTTCAAAACTGAACATAGTATAATCTTTGAGTGTTCAAGCCCCTTTACTATGCTTCCAAAGGAGGAGCTTTATAAAGCAAGTGTGGTGAGACTATGAAGGCCAGTAGACACCAGTTAGACAGCAATGTGCCACAATTTAGATAATGGTATGCCAAGGGAAGATCATGGTGTAAATATAGCTTTTGTGAGTCAATGTTAAACTAAGATGTACGTGGAAGATAAATTACTTAAATTCTCTTACACTATTAATTTTAGTACTAGCTTGCATTGCAGTTAAAAAGGATAAGAAGGAGATAATATTATATTTTCAATTTTGTTATAAGTCATATACACTTTTGTATTGCCACCTGCTGCTACTGACACTTCACTGTGATGGGCTAAACCACCTGTCACTCACTCAGAGCATGACAGAAGCCAACCAATAGGTTTAGTATTGCATGCATAAAACATGTAAAAAAAAAAGCTAATGTTTTAGAATGGTTTGAAATGGATGCATCATATTTGTGATGTAGGTCAGTAGGGGCCAGCTGGTGAATCTAAACTGTCCATATAATGTGAGTGATCCAAATACCTGGCCACTGCCCAAGCAGTTGATCATCCATCACAGCTCCTCCAATAGGCACCAACCACCTATGAATAGAAACAAGAACAGTATAAAAACATATGGAAGCATAGAAATGAATGTGTATAAGTTAGGTCAAAGAAAAAAAAACAAAAACCCAGCACTTAAGTTTTTTAAACAGATTTCAATCCCACCAAGAATTCCAAAAATCATAATTTGCACTGTAGTAATGGGTTTGTCCACTGATTCGATGGTTGCCAGTTTGAATCCTACTCTCGACATAAACACGATTGGTTGAGTGGTCAGATGCACTGTCACTGTGTCCTTGGGCAAGACATTTAACACTACTCATCTCCAGTGTCTGCATACACTGGTGTATATATGTGTGTGTGAATGAGTGAGTGGATCCTTGATCTAGAGCTTTTTGAGTACCTTAAAGGTGGAAAAGCACTGCATAAAAATGTGACCATTTACTATTATTATGGGCAGTTACGGGCAAATGTTTGTTGTGAATGAAGTGCACTGGTTGTTAGAAATCTGTTCCTCTCCAGACTCAAATGGACCTTCACTAATTCTTTGCATGCAGTGAAAGTAGTGATCGGGCATTTTCGAATGACATCATCTCCAGGCCATGGGTGCAAATAGAGTGACTGAAGAATTCTTGCATATTAAAAAAGTAAAAATATGGACAGCTATTAGCTACACATTGTATTAATTTAATTTAAAGAAGATTTACGGCTTGCACAGAGTGTTAAAGTGCCTGACATATATCCCCTAAACTGTGCACTCAGATTTTCATGTGTTGCCATTCTCATTTGCATTTGTTGTGTTTGCATTCCCATAAAGCCTGATCGCAGTATGTTTGTGTGTGCAGGAAATGGACTGGTTAGGATGGAGATTTTATGCACTGTTGCCTTGTTAGTTTGAATAAACAGCTTCCTGCCTTTAGCACAGCGGGATGCGGCTGTAGCTCGTAGCTAATGATCATTTTCAGCGCGCGGCGTCTTTGTGCAGCTGCGGCTGGGTCAGGGTGAAGGATGACTGATATGAGAGGCCGACCTGTCACACAGCATTTGACTTACTATCCTTGGAAGCGGATAAAAGGGGAGCCAAATGTCAAGTGATACGAGTGACGCATCCTCAAACACACATGCACACACCAGGGCTTGTTTGGAGGAGAGCATGGAGCTAAGCAGCCTTTTCTGGCAAATATTAGTTAAATGTTCACAAATGCTGTAAGGTTCAAACTGTCAAACATTCCCTATTCATGGATTTCAGCACTGTGTTACATGCAACAGTTTGCAGACTTTTTCCCAATTCAAAAGATATGTATTTTGATCTAATTGTTAATCGCTATGGCAACAATCCTAATTTTTAATCATTCTGAAACCCATGGATATTGCAATCTGCAAATTTCATGTCATGCCATAACCTGGCTCACATCAGATTGATATGTGTGTCACTCTGAATTGAGTTCTACACATTATCAGTCTGGGATGGCTCTCGCTGAACGCCATCAGAAAGCGCAGAACATCATGACTATGAATCTGATTGGTCAAGTGCCACAACAACGAAACAATTATTCTTACAGTGGGGGCATGCTAAGATGTTTTCACGTGAGTTTGTGAATTCATAAATATTGCAAGAATCCATTTTGTTGTGCAAGGTTAGTCATGCTATATATGATCAAAAATGGAAGAGTTAGATTTCGTTCTCACTGATGCATATTTATTTCAGGATGATTAAGCATTTATTGGTTCAACCTATACAGTGACATTGTGGATATAAGTTTTAGAAGCTTTAGAAAGTGAATGCAAACTATCCAGCCATCCTGACCTTAGCTAAATGTGCTCTAAAAACAACTGCACAAATGTTTGCTTGGATAATATTGGCAATCTTTGACGCAATATTGGAAAGAGATTGCTCTTGTCCTGAAAGAGATGTTAAATGTGTTTTGTTATTCACTTTTTGACTATAAAATAAGAAATCGCATAAATATTATAAACCAGACCATTTCTACCTCCGCCTCAGTCACTAAACATACGCAGTGGAATGTTTTAATATAATGTAAACAATTATCTAAATACATTTTTGCTATATTAGCTTACTCTCTTCATTTAGACTCCACCTATCCACTATTTCCATGAGTTATTCCCCACATCTGACACGGCAGGTGTTGTTGCAGAGAGGTGAAGTGAACCCAAAGTCTGGGGGAGTGCGATTTTGTGCTGGTCGGAGGTCAGGGTCGTAGCGTTTGACCGTGGGAGGAATCCACTGCGCGCTCTCCCTTCTGCGGCCCAGGTATGTGGAAGGTGAAGAGGTTGGATATTAATTGCATTTAATGGCATGTTTGGGTTGGCCTGCTGTTTCATGGCGTGATGAATAAACAGTATCCACAAATAGGCCACATGTGTAATTACTAGTACAGGAGTGGCTAAAATTCAGATGTGTTTATTTACTTGGAGATGGACACTTGGACAGCTCTTCTCCATCTGTCACCATAACCACACACGCTCACGGCGCAGATTCATTCGTCTTGTCGTCTCTGACAGTTGGATTTTCCCGCCGCACCCCCATCGCAAGTCACATGGGATTTTTGGGGGGGAAGTGGAGTCAAAAAAGAAAACAGACAGTGACAAGGAGTAAAGCACTTTGTGAATGCTAATGAGTCTGGGAGAATCAGCAGCTAGCATGCGGAGCGAATCCGGCAGACATCGTGCAATGCCCCTCGCCAGGCTCGGCCCACGCACTGCCAAAAGGGTCAGAGGGCAGAGAGGCCTTTCTGGAAAGTGGTAATAAAAGTAAGACCACCATGAGGCCGCGTGATGTTACTGTAATGAGCTCTGATATATTTTTAAATGTGAGTCTTTTTTGGTTAAATAGGGTACACACAGACGCATGATGGGAGCGTGCCTATGTTCCCACAGCCCTATGTTCCCTCATCCTTGTGTTCGCTCATTTCTAAGTTTTGGGGATTTTTTCCAAAAAATTAGGCCCTATGTTCCCACATTTCCTTTTTCATCAAATTGCATCAGATTTTATCCCCATTTCTCCCAATTTTGTAGTCAGTTACATCCAACCTATTATCCAGCAGCAGACTACACATGTAACCTAGAGGTCATGGTGATATAAAATAAAAATGACTTGACTTAGAGTTTACTTTTGAGAAAAATCTTAGAAATATGCTCTTAGAAATGAGGGAACATAGGGCTGTAGGAACATTGGACCGCAGGAATAGCCCCTACATGAGAGAGTGTTGGATAATCACCCTTCATTAAAGAAAAAAAAAACTTTTCAGAGCTTTTAATCATGTTATAGCTGTTCCCCCTTCGCATTTACCCTCTGGAAATTGTATTTGGAGTGATTTGTGTATGTTTGAGTCATCTTTAATCACTTATTTTCAAGACGCCTTATTGCCGATCATGCCCCGTGTTCACCTCTACCAACATACCCCCACTGCTCTGTGCTTCCTACAATGTACATTTCACAATTTTATTTTCTCAATCAGTGATACATGTAGCATTGAGCAGCGTATCACGGTCATTTTGTCATCCATTAAGTTGCCGGTGTTACGGATCTGTTGGCAATGCTATGTCAACGTGAGGCGATGTGGACGTGCCTAGCAAGGACCTAGCTTTAAAAGCTAATTTTAACACGTGGTATCCATGTTTCTTTTGACTACGTTTCACTTTATTAAATCATCCCCGAGGTACATATGAGACAAAGTGGGCATGTCAGCGTGTTTGAGCATGAATGTAGCGATAAGTGTGAGCTGCTCCAGATTGATCACTGCCAAACAACTGCACTTGTTTGCTTGGATAATGTTGCCAATCTTTGTCTGTCTTACAATGTCCACAATAATGTAAAGCAAAATGTAATGCATAAGGTTGAATGTGTGTGATCTGGTTTGACTGTAGGATTCAGTTGTTTTGTTCATGCTATTCCCCGTGGAAACAAAGTATGCTAAACTATGTTAATGAATCCATGCTGTAAGGTGTCAAGGTAACAAATGTAAAGAAGAAGCCTTGCAAATTTGCAAATTAACAACACAAAAAATGAATGGCACAAACTGAATCATTGAGTCCAAACAACATATGAAGAACTCTATGAAGAAGTCCTGTTTATGGAGGAGGTGCATTCAAAGGCAATACCCCCCGGCTTTAGCGCCTTTAAGAGAAGCTTGTTCTTTTTACCAAAACACACACAGACTCTCTCAACCTCAAAGAACACGGGCGCAGAGTGGAGGATGATAAAAAGAACATCTGGTGGAGCGAGCACAGTGCCAGGACAAGACAAAGCCATGTGTCTGGCAAAGCAGCACCCACACACACACAACCACACACACACTGGAACGCACACCTATTCATGCACGCACACTCAAAAACCGCCTGCCCCCGAACCTGCAAACAAGCAAAAATCCTCAAGTTTTTGCCGACATTACAGTCATTGTCCTCGCACTCATGCACAGCAGGGAGCATTTGGAGAATGAAAAAAAATAGTGGGATGTGATAGGACGGTCCAGTGTTCAGACAGCGCTAATCTACATATACTCTGAGGCTTAGAGAGTGAATATGCATGAGAATATAAAGCAGCATGCCTAGGAGGAGACCACCCGCTTTCTTTGGATTACTGTACCCACCACCTCCAAGTCTTTTATCTTGGTCTTGGCACGCTATCAAGCTGATTTAGTAACATTTTTGAACCCACTAGCTTGTGAGATGTTAACCTGTTGTCGATATAAAGGGATGCAAGCTTTACTGTTTGGTCCTCAAATGCAACCAAAATAAGTAACTCAGCCAACAGTGTGTGTGTGTGTGTGTGTGCATAATTTGGATTTGGTTAAGAAGATTTAACCATTGGAGGGAAAAGAGAAGGAGTACTCAGTTGAAGAGAGAAATATTAGACATCAAATATTTAACAAATATCCGGAGGGGAAAATTGTGTATTCTGGCTTAGCTAGTGTTAAGAAAGTGTGCTTGATTTGTGGAAGGGTTCCCAAGTCATGCATAGAGATTTCTTTTGCAAATCAAGTTCTAATAAAATTACACTTCCAGTGGTTCCCACAGGT